ATTACAATATTCTCCCGTCACGTTGTCACCCTCTTTTATATACCAGTCTACCCTCTATCTAGTAAATACTAGAGCATTCGCCAAGATACGGGATAGTTCTAGAAAGCAGAGGGCGTGAGAATCACATGATCTCGATGACGCAACAATATCATCAAAAAGGAAAGGGTCTTCATTAGCAGTAGCATCTAACATTCCCACGCCACTCAAACACGACCTAAAACTGACCGAGAAGAGTAAGTACCATAAGTGGACTACTTTAAAAGAGGAATATTAGATGATCAAAGTAATAGCACGCGTAATTACTATCAGATGTTTTGTAATAAATCGATGAGCCAAGTTTGATAAGATATATACTACTGAAAACCTAAAACCGCCATCTTACTTAAGATAAATAAGAAAGTCAGTAAATACCAATAGGTGATGCATTGTTAACTCTTTCACTGCTCCGCGTACCATGTGATATTTCCCTAGTTAACTGCTCTGCTCATCATATGATGTTTTAGTTTTTCTTGCCATAATTTGAAATCCCAGTTGACATTTGGTTGTGCCAGCGACCTATAGATATCATAGCGGGAAAAAATTATATAGTGTAAATATTAGGCATTTAAACAGAAGTTTTAGTTACTTATATTAGTGTGATAAGTATAACATTTATACAATATAGTCATGTTATTTACGACCAACATTGTACCAGTACATGAGATACGAGAGGAATGTCATACCACATCTGTAAAAGTCAAACAAGTACTGCTTGCCCTCCCGTCTTATCTCGCCTTGGACCCGACTGACCCCCTCTCCCTCCTCACTCGGCACACCACCAGGCCTACACAGTGGTCATTGTATGCTTTTTGTGTGTGTTTATTTTTACTTTTGCATGCTCGTCCTCACTAACAGCTGACAGATAAAACTTACTAACCTTTGACCGATGACGTAACGTCACGTGGCAGTAAATCAACAAATAATAAATTGCCTTGCTAATTTCAACGTAACTTATTTTAGTTTATGTAAAGTGTCATAAAACTGGCAGTTAGAAAGTATTTTATTTTAACTTGTAAAACAAGTAGAAACCAGATAACGTAATTTTTACTTCGTGATGAGGAGTAACGTAATTGTTTTACTCATCTTTGCTTGGTTTGTATGTACTCGCTCATTAAGCCCAAAAGAGTCGGAAATTCGTGAAAAAAAGATCCTTGATGGAATATGGGATTTCAAAATATGCAATATAAGAAATCAAGATACAGGCTTCCAGGAGAAGTGGTTTACGAAAGCACTTAGAAAAGTAAGTTAGGAATGGTGTTTACATACTTTGTTAGTTCAATACCTAAGCCATAATCCGATGATAAATTAAGGTTATGTCAAAAATCACCTCTTTAATCCTCTATATTATATTTTCTTTACTTAAACTGAATTTAAAGCCATGGCCGAAAGCCTTCATATGTGATTGAAATTGAATAATTTTTATTTTTTTCAGTATCCCATGCTCCATACTGTAAAAATTACACCAATTGTCCACAAATAGTACTATTTTCATCCGTCATCAACATTGATAGTCAGCGTGAACGCCGAAGCACAATCGTATTAGTAAGGCGATAGGAGTGTGTGATGTTCTTTTTTACTTTTTCTTACCCACTTCCAGATAACGTTCATACATTTACTAATAGTAATACTTGTCTATTGATATTTGATGGGTGTAATGACTAAACGAGAGTATTTCAAATTGCATTGTTAGGATAACTTTTAAGAAATTAAACTAAAACTTCGTTTCACAAGAAGTATTAGATGAAAAGAAAGATTTACATACAAGTTTTGTGTTAGAACATATAGCATTTAAAACTTGACTTATGGAAAGAAAGAAAAATCCCCCACCCCATGGTGCGTAATGCTTGTTTTGAAGGCCTACAATTTTTATACTTCTGACTTTACTTATAATGTTACATAATTGATCTAAGAAACATTGGGGCATAATTTTTAAACTAGACATTTAAAAATAATGACTCAAATAAACACAATTTTTGTCAACTTGCACCTATCCTGTAAGTGTAAGGCATAAATTACAGTTAGTGAGTAGTTATAAAAATGATACAACTTGACCTAGTAGAAGTGGTTGTGAGTTGGTTGCTACAATTTTACAAATATTTGTTGTGGTAAGTGCAACCAGTACTACTACCAGTTATTTATCCAATACGTATTTATTGCTTTCTTGTATTCTGGGGATTGAACATTATCTTTACAATAAAATAAACATTATTTCTAAGAAAATTAGATGTTTTGTATTTAGTGATGGAAGTGATAGATCTTGATTTTTAATAATAGCATTTTCTTATGTGTCGAGATAGGATTTGCTTAAGTTAAAGTGTAAGTTTCATCTTTAAATATTCTTGTTTATTTAGAATTAACTTCAATTATTTCTAGTTGATTGGAAGTTGACTTGTGTTTTTTAAGTGAGGTGATAAAAATTGTCCCAGTAATTATAGACCTATTAGTCTTACATCAGTGGTGGAATTTTTTTTTTAAAAGTCTGATAAAAGATACTTCACAAAGTCATTTAACAATGTTAACATTTTTGTTTGATAGTCAGCATGGTTTCACTAAGGAAAAATATTGCCCTAATAATAATCTCTTGACACTTTTTGACAAGGTTATTCCTTATGTAGATGAGGGTATGGGGTGTGAATTTGGTTATTTTGATTTTCACTTTTGACAAGGTGCTGCATTAAAATTAAAATTAAAGGCTTATTAAAATTTTATCTTTGTAGGTGTGAGAGATAAGTTGGCTCACGGGATAGAAAAGTTGGTGGATGGAAGAAAGCAAAGTGTTGTTATTAAATGGTGTTAGGTCAAACTGGATTAATGTCACAAATACAGTATCTTAGGACTCGGTGTTGAGACCTTTGCTCACTTTGACTGACATCAATGACATAGATGAAGGAATGCCCCTTTGTTGTAAACAATATGATCTGATGAAGAGTGCTAGCTCAAAACGTCATCCTTCTTTAAATATAAATAAAAAAATATAAAAAAACTTGATGATTGTTCAACCTATTATTTAATTTTAATAGATGAAGGAATGGTCAATAATTATTTAAATTTGCTGTTGATATTAAGATTTTAGATGTTGCCGGGTTTTAGGAGGATGCTGCTGCTTTACACAAGGATTTGGATTATTTGGTAAGTTGGGCAAATAAATGGCAGATGTGTTAATTATAGTAAATGCATGAGGGATATCATAATTTGGGTTATGAATATAATTTTGATAGGAATAACCTTAACAATGTCATGGAAGAAAAGGATTTTGATGTTTTGGTTGATCTGTCTTTTAAACATCTGAACAACGTGCTGTTGCTGGTGGCAAGGCAAATGAGATTTCAGGTTGCATGTACAGAAACATTATTTACAAGTCTAAAGAGGTTATGTCATCGGTAAGGGCACACTTGGAATACTGTGCTTAGTCTCGGCTTCTTATCTTACTAAGGTCTATTATTGAGATGGGTGAAAAACTTTGAAAGAAGAAGAGTTAGAGAGGTATTGAGGCATTTAAGATTGTTAATGGAATTAATAGTATTGGCACATTATTATTATTTTTTCACTTAATGGTGACAATGGAAGGACTATGGGACACAAATATAAATTGTAGCAGGGTAGCAGTTATTTTCAGCTTAGACAGTTTTATTGTCTTAACTAAAAATAAGTCCTATCCTGCTAAAACTTATTTTATATATATATGTTTTTTTCTAACATGGTTGACTTTTGGAATGGGTCATCTTCAGATGTGGTAGATGCAGTCAATTTAAGGGAGCTTTAGGAAGGCATAGCAAATACTTGAATGATAAGGGCTGGCTTTGAGTGTTTTGTTGTTTTAGTGGATTGTATGACCTAGATGGACCAACAGGTTTCTTGTTGTCCTTAAATTTTGTGTTATTTTCATTCTAACAACAAAATTTAAAAACACAAATGGACTTAAAACTTTTGATGTATTTGTAAAAAATGTTAGGCATCAGTTATTTTATTTAAGTCAACATTTTAATCAGTAATTGTAAAAATCTTGTGGTAATATTTTTAAGTATGTATGTATTTATCAACTATAAATAATCGACCACCTTAAGTTTGAAAGAAATGACTCAGGCAAGACTATGAAACAAAGTTTTCATGCACAAAAAATCTGGTTGAAACTAATCAGTATTTGCTGTAAATGAAAATATTAAATCTGTTAAGAGTGTAAAACAAGTTAACTCTTTTGATGGAAATGCAAAATAAATACTTTAACAGTTCAAAATGTTGGGTTATTTGAATCAATTTTATATACATTCAAGAGATTTTTTTACTATTTTCTATATGTATAATGTACTGTAATATAGACAACAAGCAAACATTTGTTCTTTCAAAGCTGCTTTCTGAATAGAAATTTAAACCCATTTTTTGTTCTTCAGGTAATCACTAATTTCTCTCTTAAACTTCTGCAAAGTGCTAGTCTCCACTACTGCTGATGGCAACTCATTCCATAAGCTAGTTATCTTGAAAAAATATAAAACTGTCTTAATTGGAGTCTATACTGTCTTTTCCAAGTCTTAAAGTTGTTTATTTTCTTTCCTTTATCTTAAGAATATAGAAAAAAAAAATCTGAAGTTTTATCATATGGATTGATCTCTCAGATTATCTTGTATTCTTCAATAAGATCACCTCTTACTTTGGGTATTTGTTATAAAGTTGCATACTGATAGTATCCATTTATTAAATTTTTAGAATAATGTTAAATGTGAATATTTTTTAGTTAATATTTATATAATATTAGCTATATGCACTGCCTAGAAACTTTTTAATGAGCAAACAAAAGCTACAAATTGAAAAATATTCAGTTTGTGGTAAGAACTTTTCAAACCATATATTTTTTTCCATTTGAAGTGAATAAGGGTTGTTATTATTAATGTTTGAACCTAAAGTTAGTCATTGTTTATAATTGAGATAGGTGAAAAGTTATGAATTGTATTTAAGTAACAGCTTTTTTATTTTTTATTTTTAGACTGGTGATGTCATTCCTATGCCAGTACCATCTAGTTTCAATGATGTTACTCAAAATAAAACAATAAGAGACTATGTAGGATGGGCTTGGTATGAAACACAGTTTTTTATTCCAACTTCTTGGAATGCGGACAAACAAAGAATAGTCCTTTATTTTGGAAGTGCTCACTATCATGCTTGTGTGGTAAGTTCTCTTACATAGTTTTATGTGATAACCAGAAATTTTATATTACCTTAAATATGTCAGTATGCTTTACAATATCAATACATGGTTTTGTTTACAGATACAATTTCTGCATTACTTCTATAACCTTGGAAAGTAAATATAAATGCACTTTTCTCATATTCTAAGGTTTTCCTAAAATCTGGAGTTTCAATGAGCAGTGAGTTGAGTAAAGATACTGTAGTCTCTAAAGGTGGGAATATTTCTCCTAAAATGTTGAAAATTTAGCTGTTTTAAAAAAGTATAGAACATCTTGAGAATAAAGCTCTCAACCTTGACAAGATTTATCCTAAAATGATGAAGAAGCTTAACAGATGGTAGTGAAAGCTTTAATATATTTCTCAAAAAGTCTATCCACTATTTTTGTATGATACCTTTTTATCTTACTCTGTTGGTTTCGTAATTAAATGATGTTATTGAAACAATCTAGTAAGTTCTGTCACTTGATGAGGTAATAATATAGCTGGAGTAAACCACGAAAGTCTTACAATCATAGATGACACAGAAGTATGGTAAAAGGTGTAGACCAGTGTATATTCCTGTTCCATATTTCATAAATAAAGGTATTTCTGGATGGACTTCTTACACAGATGAAAAGAGAGAGGTGGCTGGTTTGATCCCTGCATTTGACAGTTCATTGTCCAGATGTTTTATTCTGCACTGATAGAGCTGGACGATTAATGGAATTTACTAATCACTTAATCATCAAGCTCATTAATCGATTATATTCACCTACTTGATTATTCTCACATGAGATGACTAAAAAACACAGTTATTGTTAAGAGATAGCTAAAACAACAAATGATGCAAAAAACTGGGTTTCAATCCAGTGTTGAGCAGGGTACAGAGAACTCATTGTGTAACTTTCCACTTATCAACAAACAAATGCAATAGCAATATTTCAATCACTAGAATAGCTGGAATAATTGAAAGTGGTAATATTCAGAAACCCTGATTTTTATTTGGTATAATTATTTTTGTGAGTTGTCATACTAATAGATTACCCTATGTGCACAGATGGGAATCAAAGTGCACATGCCACAACTCTTTACAGAGTACCATTCAACTTAGTATTGTATATTTGATGTCAGAATTATCAACTATTCATTTTATCCTACAATGCTGATTTAGTGATAGTTTGTGGTAGAGAAGAGTAAGTACCAGATATGATGTATGGGGATACTAAAAATAACTGTAGATATTCATTTCATATGTTCTTGAGGTTATGCAAATACAATATGCAAACTGTATGATGGACAAAAGTATTTTTATTCTTTATATAAACATCATCTTGCACTCTGACTTGTTAAGAGTCTGAGTCAGATTTCATGTTTTTAATTCACAGATATATCTCAAGTACAAATACCTTTGTAACACATCTGATTTTTGTGTGCAGCAGACATGCATTTTACTGAAAGCTTGTAGGTACACATAGTAAATTTTGAATTATAGTCAATATTCCATCTCCAATATTGAGGTAAGTCTAATGGACTGAGCCTGTGTACATTGGGTTAACTCATTAACCCAATTCTGTAATGATACGTCTTATCTCATGGTCTCAAAATTGGCTTTTGAAAAACTAGGAACTAAAATGTTATTTCTTTTTATCTTAACATCCAGCAATAAATCAAACTAATTTTGCAATAATTACTCTTCTCCAAATTGTCCCTTACTTCAACTTTTGCAACCATATTCTCATTAGCAGTTAACATTAAATTTACAATGGTATCTTCACCTGTTTGGTTTTCTGCCATTTGATATAGAAAACTACCTAGAATTGCTTTAAGAAATCTCTATCCGTACACTGTTAATCAATATGTATAAAATTCAAGTCTCCCATAGTTATTGCATTAGTATCATTGTTAGTTACTGTGAAAGAATAACTGTGTGTGAATATGTTATATAACTAGAGGCACAGTATATAAGTGATATCAGTAACTCAAACAAGAGAACTTGTAACATGTAGATCTTTTGTTGTCACACCTAGTATTTTGAGAATAATTTCGTTAGTCAAAGATGATGCTCTTTTAAGAGTGGAATTCATTAATAAAATTAAAAATGAAAGAAAATTATTGAAACAAATGCTTTCTACACTTTTACTGAATTGATTTATTTTGTAATGTTTTGACCTGAATTGGACCTAAAGTCAAAATGTTGCAAAATAAATCCATTTATTAAAAGTGTAGAAAATATTTGTACTTACAATTTTTTGTTCTTGTTTAATTTTTTTAATGATAGGAATTTTGAATAGTAAATCTTTGGAATAGTATGCTATAGGAGTTGATAAATGAAAGGATTTGTTTTTTTTTTAATATAACTTGTGATCCAACTCTTTTTTTTGTTTCATAACAGTTTCTGAATGGAATATGGGTGGTTAACCATACTGGAGGACATCTGCCATTCCAAGCTGATGTAACAAATAATGTCAAGTTTTCTGTGAAAAATTGGTTGACTGTAGCCCTTAACAACACTCTCACACATCACACCATTCCACAAGGGAAGGTTATTTACAAGGACAATCCAGAAGAGTAAGAACAGTTTATTAAAACTATTTCATAATTTTTTATGGAACAATTCAATTCAGAATGCCAAGTTTTAAATTATATTTAGAAGTGTCAACTTTGTATAGGATGAATTATCCATTTTTAGTTTGTAGCATCAAACTCTTAACTTTTGGAGTATCTATAAAACTCATCTTTGGCAGATTGTGTATAATTAGCATTAAATCTTTGACTTTTTTTTGTTGTTGTTGCATAATGGTTTCACATGACATGAATAATAGGAATTTTTACTCTTGATGGTAAGATGTACCAAATTAACTACATCACTGAATAATATAACTTGAGACACTGATCCAGAGTTTCTGAAATAGTACAAAATTTAGTCTTCATATTATTATGTTTGCATACAAATGGACCCCAATGCATATTCAGTACAGTATAATTATCACTAGGGAAAGATATTTTTGCTTCCACTTGACAAGCTATACAAGATATTCTCTATATAATATAGTACTGGCCCATTACAATATTTTAGGTTTATACGACAGTGGGTAAAATGTTTGTTTTTGCAAGATTTACAAAGTCTTTCAAAGTGTCAAGAACTGATTTATGTTGTAATTTCACCATATTGCTTTGGTTTTACTTTGTGATACAAATAAAAAAATCATGCAGATTTTTTTATTTGCATCATTTATCATCTTTAATCTATATTAGCATAACATCAAAGGACAAATAGGAACCTTCTGGTCCATCTGGGCTATGCTATTTGTTAAATTAAACTGTTAAATAAATAGATAAAAAACACATCAAAGCCAGTCCTTATCATTCACGTATTTACCAAGGTTTGCCTTAAATTTTTTAAATTAACTACATTTACTATATCTAAAGGCAACCCATTCTAGAGGTCAATCACCCTGTTGGAAAAATAAAGCTGTCTTAGCTGACAATGACTTCTTCCCTGCCAAAATATATATTTGTGCCCCTAGTCTTACCATTCTCACCATTAAATAAGAAAAAAGATTGTGTCAACACTCATTTCCCTTAACAGTCTTAAACACCTCAGTCAGATCCCACGTAACTCTTCTTTTCTCAAGAGAAAACAAGTTCAGAAATCAACCTATCCTCGTTTGATAATTCTTCCATCTCATTTATCATTCTAGTAACCCTCTTCTGAACTCTTTCCAACAATTTAATGTCCTTTCTAAGGTAAGGAGCCCAAGACTGAACACAATATTCCAAATGTGGCCTAACCAATGATCTATAAAATGACATTATAACCTTTTTAGACTTGTATTCAATATTTCTGTAGATACAACCTAAATTCCTATTTTCCTAAATTCTTCTATAACACTACTTTGGTTATCCCCATCAAAATCATACTCATAATTGAAACTGTGATAACCCACATGTATTACCTTGCATTTATTATGATTAAAAACAATCTTCCATTCATTTGCCTAACTCATCAAATGATGAAAATCCTTTTGTAAGGCAGTAGCGTTATCCTTACAGCCAGAAACACTCAAAATCTCATCAGTAAATTTAAATAATCTATTGACCATACAATGCTTTGGCTAGGCATGAAAAATTCATAAAAATAGAATAATATAGAGTTAATAATGCAGCTTGTAAGGTTTTATAATTTTAAGAAGCAAGAAATATGTTTTCTTTATTCATTTTTTATTCAGATACCCAGAAGGATTTTATGTACAAAGTGTGAATTTTGATTTTTTCAACTATGCTGGAATTCATCGCAGTGTAATCTTGTACACAACACCAACTGTGTATATTGATGATATCATTGTAGTAACAAAAATAAATGGTACCACTGGTAAGTACATACCTTTGTATGCTTCTTGGGTTTCTCATTTGATACAAATAATAAGTATAATGCATAATACAATAACTATTTTATAAAGAACATTGGTGAAATAGTTAATCATTATCATAACAATATGTTACTTGTCTAAAAAAATGTTATTTTATCAATTGTTATTTGACAACTAATAGCTTAACAACTCAAACGGAGAAAAAAGATAAAAATTACATAAGCAAGTTACACTTTCAATACTTTTTTGTTGAGAAGTGTGGTGATATTTTTTGTAAAGGACAAAGGTCTGTAAGATGGCTATTTTGCTACTCTTGTAATTTCTTTATTTACATATATTTTCACCTAATTCTACAAGTATTTGGAAATCCATAAAAATATTGCTTTTATAACTTCTCGGTAAGTTACCCACAAAAGTGTATCATGTCACATACTGTACTGTCTTCACTAAGTATCCTCATTTCACCTCTGCTTTCTTATTCAGTGGAAGTGCATTGATGATTGTGTTCCTTGTGCCTTTTTTAGTTTCAGAAATCACATTACTGACATTGTGTGTGACACATCTAGTGTTACACCTGCATGACACAAGAAATATAAGCTGGTCTAATTGGGTCATACTGAAATCAGAGAGAGTACACCTTGCTTTGGATATGATGGGAGTGAATTTTTAAATAGGAGATATTACCTCTTTTACTACAGACTCTTAAGTAATATGGCCCATCCTTAGATAAATATTTTTGCATATATACAACTTTAGCTTGTGTATACCCAATTCAGTAACTGCAGCCATTCTTTTGTCAAATTTTAAAAATCAATAGCCATTTTACCTGTTTCTGTTATTTTGCTACATAACTTCTTTTATTTTGAACCTTTATACTCTACATTAGTTAAAGCATGCAATGAGGAACAGTAGAATAAGCTTTTGTGTGTTTTATTGGAGCAAGCTAATAGCAGTTGCAAAGAGCATTGAGAATCCCTTATAAAAGAAACTTGATAAATACCATCTACATTAACTTCCACTGTTTTATGCACTCTTGTGACAAACCTTGAAGAGATTGGGTTCACTTGTAGAATGATGGTTACAACAGACCAATGATGGCTCAGTAGTATGTTTGAGGACTTGCACTAAAATTTGGGTTTTAATACCCACAATGGGCAGACCACAGATAGCTGATTGTATAACTTAGCGCTTAACAACAAAACAAACAAATACAAAATAAAAGTTTTAAAGACTTTAAAAGATGGATTTTGACACTTTACCATAAACAACAGCATATGACAAAGTGAATTGCTAAAACAGCCTTGAGATACTTACAAGTGCAAGAAATATTATGCAGAAGGGGCTAGACCTCACAGCCGAAGTTACTGTAACATTGCCTGTGGGCACTTTTTGATGTGTATTGACATAAATAATCAAAGATTAAGAACAGGACAGGAAAATAAAACATTAAAAATAAATTATAAGTGAAAATATAAAAATGGGAAATTACACATGTCAATCACAAAAGGTGTTATTAAAGGAATCAATGAAGAGTTAAATGTTTTTTACATATTTCTATTTCTTAATTTTAAACATTTCATTGCACTGTACACTGTTGATAATAGCTAGTTAGTGATGTTGTAGAGAAAATGGCAAATAAATATGGTCATTTACCTTAAAAAACTTTTGATATGCATTTAGGAGGTTCTAAAGATTATGCAAGTGAAATGTGAAAACTGTAAGGTAAAAACAAGTATTTTTATACTTAATATGAAAATCACTTTGCAGGTGAACTATTCAGAGTCTGAATGCCTGTCTGTCAGCCTTCCCTGGGGCTTTTATTCCAAGCTTTTTGTCCTCACAAAGACAACCAGGGACTAATAACCTGTGATCAATTTGTCCTACCTCAACCAGTTTTGGGATTTTTCTCCAGGTCTATGGATGACCAAGGTAGATGTCTCAAACATTATCTCCATATTCCTACTTCTCATTGGTCCTGATGCTACCTTCAGTTTGTCCACTTCAGGATTATGTATCACTTTTGTGCCTTGCCTTTTAGACTTGCTTCAGCACTGTATGTCATTTTTGGTATGTTCAAAGTCTTTGCCTGACTTATGCATGCTTGAGTGTTGTGCTTCCACCACTACATGGACGACTGGCTCTTGTTACCTCATTCCAAACTGGAGTCTTCTTAACACCGTCATATGCCATTAACAGAAGCTGGTCAAGTTGGAGAAATTTTTCCTAATGGCAACCCAATATCTTGTCCACATAGGTGTGTTTTTCAATACATATGTTAGTTGGACCCAACCTTCTCCACTTCATTTCCATTCAATGAAGCTTTCAGTTCTCCATGCTCTTTCTGCACCCTCTATTTCTGCACATGAGGTTCTATCACTTTTTGGGTCTTGGGCTTATATGGAAGCCCTTATTCTCTTAAAGCAATATGTATTCTTTTCAATGGATGTTGCATGACCAATGGAATCTTGCTTGGAATCCCTTGGACTTCTCAATTCCCTTTTCTCCTTCCCTTACAGATAATCTTTATTAGTGGTTGAACACAATGATGGATGTACCACTTCCTCTGCTTCATCTGGATTTGCATCTGTTCACAGATGCTTGTCTCCATGGTTTGGGAGTGTGGGTCAATCTGTGGGTGGCTTTTAGTCAATGCTCTCAGAGCAGCATGTCATACCATATCAACATCTCGGCGCTTCTGGAAGTGTGATGTGCTTTGAATCATTTTTTTTTCTATTGTATGGAACCAATTCATTGTGATCCACTCGGACAATTTCACTATTGTTGCCTATATCACTAACCAAGGTGACACCTTCTCTTGTTCCCTTTGTGGTCAAACATTAGACCTGCTTTATTGGGCCCACATGCTATGGATATGTCTTATTGCATGTCATGTCTAGGTGCTTTCAACCTCTTGGCCGATTGTCTTTCCCAGCCTGATCAGGTTTAGGTTTATCCCATGGAGTGGTCCCAATACCTATTGCTTTCAATCCATCCATTCTCAGTCAACCTTAGTCTCTGGTACTTCATCCTGCTCTTCACACTCTCTGACTTCATGCCTGGTCCATTGCGAGGAGATCCAGATTGTCAATGTGTGTTGCATTCTTTTTAACATGGACCATTTGTCCTTCTTCTCTTGTGGTCTATCAACAAAGGTGGAATGTCTTTTGCCATTGGCCTTTGAGTTTGGGATTTTTCCCCAACTCGACCTACTGTTTTTTTTTCTTACAGATTTCCTCACCTGACTGTTTAATCACGGGGCTTCTGTCTCTTCCACAGCAGGTTATAGTAGCCCTATCCAACACCTTCTGTTTTTCAAGGTACCATCTGGTGTGTTCCTTTCCTACTGTCTCCTTCTTATTGCATTCTTTCTTGATTTGTTGACATTGGGCAGTTCTTTCGGATTAGAATGTTAACATTGTTCTTCACTGCCTTACACACCCTCCATTTGAAAGTTTGTCCTTAGTTTCCCTGTGTCACATATCTCTTAAGACTTATTTCATACTCTTTTTAGCTTGTGGGTATCATCATTCTGGTATCTTTGCCATTGACATTTCATGTACTCTGTTCCATTCTTCATATTTTCTCCTTTATCTGGATCATTTTTACCTACCCAAAACTTAGGTGGCTCATGAGGTGATGTTCTTCTTTCTTGCCGATTTCCCTTCCCTCCACACATCTCTCTTCCATGGTTCCCATTCCCGCCTTTTCTTCCTCTGGCAACTTTCCTCTGTATGTGACCTTTCTCCTTCTACCCTTAACAGGTTGGGGTTCATCAACTTATTAGACCAGCATATCTTATTTTTCCTTACAGTGGTATGTCCTTTTAGGTCTAGGATCCTGCTCAGTAGCAAGAGTTGCCTTTCCAGGTATACTACCTATCTTTCAAATTCCATACTGCACAGCCTTCAATAAGTCATACCGAGGTATATTGTTTTGCATCTAGTGGCTCTGTTGCTCCACCTCTGTATGGTGGTTCCCAGGGGTTGTTGTTGTGTGGCCCCAGGTTAGATTGTCCTGTGGACTGTGGTTATGTGAGTTGTTCTGCTGGTGATACTTGCGCTCCTACCTCTGTGCTGTCCCATCTGAGGTTGATGCTGCACAGGTTAACTTCCAACTACTCCTGTTGCTCCAACTCTATGGGGTTGGGCCCTAGTGAAGAATAATGTTGCATGGAGTAGCTTGGCAAGGATTGTATGGGACGTGCCACAGAGGTATACAATCTCGATGTATATCCATGGCCAATAATGCACACTGTTTAGATGGTAGTAGGTAGCAAGCAACAGATTTATTTTTGTACATTAAACATCTGCTGACTTCCAAACTTTAATTTTCAGGTTCTAGCTAGTCACAAGTGCTACAATGCTTTCAGAGCAGAACCATTGGTAACATTCTTTCCTCTGAGTACCTATATATATAAAAGCTTCTTTCTGTTCATAATGTTTCCTTTGTTGGTAATGTTCAGATTGGCTCGGTGGTTAATCTCAAGTGGATACCCTGCTCTCAAATCCCAGTCAAATGGTGATTTTTAATGTTTTTTTTATTTAGCTTGTGATGTTAATAGAAAGATCTTACAATATGAGGAAAACCAGAACAACATGATAGTTTAAATTAGAGATTTGAATTATTTGTTAATCTTCAATTACAAAGACTGGTTGTCACAGTGGTTATATCACTCAACTGTCGTATAGAAGTCTTGCATTGAAATGTTAGTAGAGTTGGGATTTTATGTTAATTTTTTTATTATATTTATTATCATATATATAGCAAGCTCTTTGAATATTTGCATGGGTGCCCACAGGAAAGGGCAAGAGGGGGCATTTACCTCCCTTACATTTCACAAAACATTGCATGTATTATGATGTAAACTTAACATCATTTAAGCACACATAACCCATATTCTTTTAGTCTGTTGACTTGCACTGTAAAAGCTTATCATCAACATACATGTTTTGCCCACCATTGAAAATATTTCTGTGGGCATCTATGAATGTTTGGTGAAATA